TTAATGCTGGGTTAAGGTGAGGCAATTAGATTTTCTGTAGCAAAGAAAAAAACAGAAGAAAGGGGAAAATAACTGTAACAGTAGAGCCAGATGGTTGCCAAGCTCAATGTAAAATTAAGAGCAAGTGTGAGTGTGAGAGCTCCCTGGAGACCTGGACCTGGACAGAAAGAAGGCCTGATGGGACAGAGCCCCCTGTGAGCAGCTTGCTTCTTCCCTTCTCATGAGCCCAGGACTTCCCCAGAAGCCGTCCTTAGCCTTCCTCTTCAGGTTGGTTTTTTTTTTTTTACTAGCACAAGCTTCTTAACCCCAATGGCTTCAAATATCCTCACAAGCTACAATTTGGAAAAACAAAAACACGAAACAAATAAAAAAGTCTAAATGTCCAGCAATAGGGTAGTCATTGGCAATAGCCTAATCATTAGGAATAAAAAAATTACTTAGAAAACTTATGCTTGATTATTAAATATTTGCCATCTATAGAAAAAAGTATGCAAAGTGTGTGTGTGAAGTAAAAGGCAACTGTGCCTACGGGAGCCAACACTGTTGTTCCGCTTGCAGTGTGCTGCGTAACAAGAAGAGCAGGGCCAACTGAAAGTGCTGAGAACTGAGACACCAAGCAAAGTATCAGAGCTGTGAAAGCTCCATGGTAATCTATATATTTTTAAATATTTTATTTATTATTTTTACTTTATATGTATGAATGTATTGCCTGCATGTAAGCGCACCCAAGTCATGCAGTGCCCATGGAGGTCAAAAGAGGGCATCAGATACCCTGGAACTGGAGTTACAGACAGTTGTTAGCTGCCAAGTGGGTGCTGGGAACCACACCTGGATCCTCTTCAAGAGCAGCCTTGCTCTTAACTGCCGACCCAGCTCTCCATATTAATATGTTTATGATTTGTTTTCTTAATATCTTCTTATAACAAAATATGATAGTTAATTTCAAATTTTAATTTGATTGTATTAATAAACACTGTGGACATATTAATGAGGCCATTGGGTGTGTCTGTGACGGCATTTACAGAGTGGATTGACTAAGGGGGTAGGACCCACCCTGAATGTGGGCAACATCATCACCTGAGCAGCAATCATGGGCTGAATAAAAAGAGAAAGGGCAGATCAGGGGTTGGAGGGAGGACCTGGCTGTCATGGAGATTATTCTTTAATTAGGGGAAGCTGAACAAGTAGGCCATTTCCAAAAATTCTAAAGACAATGGAGAAAATTAAACTGAGCAGTGGTTTCAAGATTAGTTACATTAAGGGGCTGGAGAGATGGCTCAGTGGTTAAGAGCACTAACTGTTCCTGCAGAGGACCTGGGTTCAAGTCCCAGCACCCACATAGTAGCTAACAACCATCTGTAACTCCAGTTCCAAGGGATCTGACACCTTCTGACCACCACAGGCATTGCAGGACATGGATGCACTTGTACACATGCAGGCAATACACTCATACATATAAAAATAAAATAATAAAATACTTTTTAAAAACCAAAAAAAGAGTAGTTACATTAACTAGGATGGTATGAGAAAACCTCAGTATATATGTTTGATCTAAGACATGAATGATGAGGAAGACCTGAGCATGCTAAATTCAGGAAAAGAACACTCTAGTAGGTAGAGTGGCAAAGACCAAGGCCTGAGGCAGATGTGAGCTTTTCTCCACCTGAAGGATGCTTGTGGTGCATATGGAGAGTCAAGGGAAGAGCGGAGGGAGTAAGATTGGGAGGTTGATGATGTCAGGCCAGGTTGTAAGCCACCCAAGGAAGCTGTAGACCTTGTGTACAGAGACATTGCTCTTAGAGAGGTGTGATGAATGGGCAAGAGAGAGTGGAAACTGAGAGATGGTTCAGGGGGCTGTGTAGTTGGCTGTGTGAATCCAGTGGGGGCTCAGACAAGGTGGGCACTGCAGGGGAGAAGGAAGAAGATGAATGGAGCTAGCTTAGGGTGGGCTGCAACTTGCTGAAGGTTAGCAGAGGAGAGAGGCCTGAGGAAGACTTCAGGGTGTGGTCTGAAAATTGGGTTGGTCGTTGGTGCCTTTTACAAAATAAAGTCAGAACAACCACTATTTTCTAGCCTGCCAAAATTTAGCTAATGCTAGTTGAACAAGAATCAGAGACTTGAAATTTATTAAAAGCAAGTAGAAAATAAATGAAGAAAATCATAAAGGCCCAGAGGTCCATAACAGTAACCAAATCACGCATGGTGTTCCAGAATTATGCAAAGGGCACTTGAAATCCTCAATTACTTTAGTTGTTTGAGCCAAATGCCTCACAGCCGTGTCATACCCGCAACTCTGCCTCCTCCCTGCTGCCATTCATAGGCACATATGTATGACCTCTGGCTGGACATTAACTGTGACTGTCTATTGGCTCCTCAAATTAAGTACTGCTTTCTTTCCACCTAAAGTTGACATTATCATCTGGATCCTTTACTGTGTAATATAATCACAGTATATAAATCACCAAGCTAGACACGTTTGAATTGTGTCCTCTTGTCCATCATATTCAGTTGATACAAGTTTTCATGAGTTGTATCAGAGGCTCAACTCTAAAGAGTGTATATAGGAGGGAAATGGTTTGCTCAGCATCACATGACTATGGAGCTAGGCCTAGATGTCTGAAAGCAGGAAGTTAGATGCTTTCCATCTCTCTTCCCCATCCTCTCTGAAAATGCCCTCTACTTAGCCAGAGGTCGGGTATATCAGCTCCAAGTACAGTATTTAAAATTATAAGAGCTCTGATTGGTCTACCTGGGGTTATCCCTGCAGCTAAGGGAACTGTGATTAGCAGCCTTCACTTGAAATACAAAGGTAAAATAAGATGTGGTCAGTTCTTTGCCATAATATGGCTGAAGGGTTCTTCAAAAGGAAAGTGAGGCAGAGAATATTCTGAAGTAGATAACAACTAGAGACTTCCAGATTGCCTCCTTCCCTCCTCCCCCCTCCCCCATCAGTGAATAGATTAAAGGGTATAAACCCAAACCCATATTGTAATGGTTCATTTTGATCGTCAACATGCTTAAGTTAAGGTACACCTGGGTAGTTAGTGAGGCACACTTTGGGACATGTCTGTGATGGAGTTTCCAGAAAAGATTAACTGAGGAGGGCAGACCCATCCCGAAACAGGTGGCACCATCCCAGGGCTGAGGGTCCAGACCAAATAAAGACAATAAGAAGAAAGATGAACGCATGCCATCATCCATTTCCCCATGCTTCCTGATCCACTCAGTTGTGAACAAGTAGTCTCACTCCCGTCACTGTGCCTTCCCCTCTAGGATGGGCTGGAACCCTTGAAAACTGCAAGTCAGAGTGAGTCCTTCTCCCCTTAAGTTGCTTTCATCACAGCAAGTAGAAAATGCAGACACTATAACATTTTTATAACATGCATTATTTTATAGGAAACTATTAATAATTAAAACTACCTTTTGAGGTAGGTACTATTTCTTTTTCAGCATTGAGAAAACATCTCATCCTCTCAACTGTGTTCTTTTTGTCTACATTGTTGTAGGTAGATAGTGAATGCTCAGAACTACTCCCAGAAATGACAGGGAAGCTTTATCCTTAGAAGGCGGGTGCTGTTTGATGAACCTGTGATAGCTATTGATGATCTTAAATTTCCAGGGAAATCACACTATCCCTATTCACTTACTCACTGGATCATGTGCTCTGAGCACACTGAGCAGGCCATCACCTCACCCCTACTTTTGGCACTCTGCCTTTTCCTAGCTGGGACAAGTAATATAAAAATCATCATTTTTGTTATAGAACAGTAAGCTATGGACAGTAGTCAAAGAAAACACATTTATAAAATTAACATAGAACATTTTTAGAATAAGACCAACAAAGCCCTGTTACTATGAGATGCCATAGAAATAACCTCTCCAGAGAAAAGGAGACACGAATAGCTTAGAATGCAGACAGACAAGGTACAGGTCCTGGCCTTGCCATGTAGAGCCCTGTCTGTAGACACTTTCCCCTAACCTGTATGAGCTGTTTCTTTGCTTCAGTATGTGGTTCATAATGGTTTCATAGAACAATGCATACAAAACCATTTTTGCTCAACAAATAGTTCAAAAACCTACTAAGAGTGATAATAGTAGTTATATAGAGGATATTAGAGGTTATAGAATTTGCAAGAATATTGGAGAAACCAGTGCATTTAATCTTCATCTTGACATTTCAAAAAACACATGATTTTACAGTTCCTTGGTTGATATTTTTTCATTAGTATACTGACAAGAAAAATCCATGCTTCAAAAAGCTTATTATGTTCTACTTGAGAGAGACAAATCAATAAATGCAAAGTGTCATACATCTGATGATGATAAACTAAATAGGGAAAGGCTATAGGAAAATTTGGCATGGCTTGTGATTTGAGGTGAGGATTTCAAGAACAGCCTCTGTGATAAGGTTAAGACCCAGGGCCTGGCAAGATGACTAACAGGGTTAAAGTACATGCCACCAGGCCTGATCTGAATCTGATCCGCAGGACCAACCTGGTGGAAGGAGAGAACTGACTACTGCAAGTTGTCCTCTGACCTCCACATGTGCACCACGGTACCTATGCCACACATATCCTACACACATACAATAAATAAGTAGACATTAAAAATTATTTTTAAAGATTAAGACCCAGCACTATAGTAACTGCGTAACCTAAAACCACATCATCCACATGGAAAAACATTTCCATCCATCCTCATCCACAGACAGGTTCAGGTAGATGTCAGTACAGCATTCAGTGCAGAAAGCATTTGGCCAAAGCCTTAGAGTTCATCCTGTCTATGTGTGGTATATGCTCTTCGGCCATCCTTCTATTTTCTGGCCTCTTTTGAAGTTTTATCATCTGATGCTGGGAGTTCCTATAGGCTTTTCTCCTGTTCTGCCTCTCACACTCGCAGGGCAGGGCTGAAGGCTAACTAGGAGCTGGTACTATGATCAGGGTTGGAAAGGACACCATGGGTGGTCTTCTCCAGTGACACTTCTCTTTTCTCTGCATTAGGATCCATTGGAGGCCTTTTCTTTGCTGTTGGCATTGCCCAGTATGCCATGTTAGGATACTTCATCCGCTCCTGGAGGACTCTAGCCGTTCTGGTTAATCTTCAGGGAACAGTGGTCTTTCTCTTATCTTTGTAAGTAGTTTTTATCCTTGGAATTTTTTTAATTCAGTAAATAGAAGGAATATCTCCAGAGGATGGGAGTCAGTAAGTGATGCTGTTCCTTTCCAGGAGCATGTCTAGCTGCGAAGACTAAACTCTGCAAGCACTCTTTCTCTTGTTCTTGGCCACTCCCAGGAAGAGAAATGCTGGTTAATTAGAGTGCAGGTATCCCTTGCTTAAAGTAATCTCACAATAGACTGCATTTTGACTTTTAGGCTGTTGGTAATTTATTTTTCAACCTAATGTCTTAAGCTTCTAGATCTTCAGGCTGAATGGGGCCGTAGGCTAGGTATGCAGCTGAGCTCTGATACTGTGGAGCCAAGTATTCATGCTGAACATGTAGCAACAACTGTCCATCTTGCACACGAGTCTCATTTCACAGCCTCTAAATGTGAAGTCTATAGGGGACTTCCTTAAAGTACTCAGAACTGTGCAAGGATGATTCCCTGACCCATGTGGGCTCTAGAAACAACTGCTCAAGTGTCACATTGTGATGGGAAGCCACCAACCTCAGCCCACTAAGCAAATTTTAATGTGGCCAGCAAAAGATTTCCTTAAGGTATCAAGATCTCTAACTTTAGTCACTAAAATCTTTGGCATACACAAAATGTTCAGCTCATTGTACCTCAGCTTTCTTCTGTGCCATAAAACAAGACAGTGATATTTTAATTTAGATTGTTCTGTAATTTAGTAGCTCTTTATTCACGTTTGAAACTGAGATTTGATGGAAACTGAACTGAAGTTTGTGTCTGTGGTGTCTTTGAAAACAGAATTGTTAAGTGCAGAAATGCATGTAGCAGAACAAGAAGTTCATTAAAGGTATTAAGATATGTGACTGCAGTGAGGTAATTTTATTAGAAGGGGACACTAACAGTGCTTTATTAGCTTGCATATTATACATTTTAAAGCAATAAAGGGGTGCTTCATATAGTGCATTGAGTTAATAAGCATTCATATAAATATTGGTGAATGAATGGGTTTTTAAGTATTTAGTAGTGCTCACACTTCTGTACCTAGACTGGCTTTTGTCTTTCCTTCAGCAGCAGTATGGATTCAATGTATAATATAAGCCACTGTGCCTTTTCTGAGTCTAGTTTGAGTTAACTTACTGCTTAGTGCTAGGTAAGGACACGTCCTCACCAGGAAATGAATTCAGAACATAAACAATAGAAAACAGAGGAAAAAGGAAACATGAGATTTAAATGTAGTCTTATTCCATTAAATCTGGAATACAAGACTTCCCACAGATTGCTCCCGGCCCTGTTCCCCAAGCTCTCTGTTCAGGCTTGCTAAGCTATGTGGTGTTCTCAGCATGCCCTGTGTGCTTTTCTACCCCATGCCTCTGCTAGGTGCCCAAACTGCTCTATCATTGACCAAATCCCCATTTTCTGGTCGTCTAATTAGTCCCCTGATTGCTCAACTACCCAGGCTTTTCCTGACCATATCCCCGCTACAAGTCATTCCTTTCTGAATTCCATAGCACAAAATCTGAACCTTTTGAATGGCTCTTGCATTGTTATCTCATGCTAAAGCCAGGTCTCTCATTCTAAAGTGAGAGCTACACAGCATCATAGTATACTCTGCTCCATGATTGCTTTTCCTCGGCATCAAAACCCAGGGCCTTCCACTCAGTAGATTGTTCACGTCCATGGACAGAAGTTGGCACAAAAACTTTTGTAATCACTTTCAGAATTAGCCCTCAGCAACCTTTTTTTAAAGTCACATTACACTAGCGTCATAGCTTCTTTATTTATTTACTCGAAGCACTTAACCTAGCTTAAAATTCCTTAGTTTCAGCTGGGCACTTTGGCACATGCCTGTGATCCCAGTACTTGGGAGTATGAAGCAGAGGGATCACAAGTTTTAGGGCAGCCTGGCTATACAGCAAGCTCCACACCAGCTTGTTTTATACAGAAACACCATGTTTAAAAACCAGAAGACACATCTCAGTGTTGATAGCAAAAACAATGAGTCTTTCTGCAAGGAACAATATATTCTAAATGAAATGGAGATCTTTTTTAAAGGTTAAAAACTCATCCAACTTTATGTCTTACAGGGCTTATACTGAGTTCAATAATATATAACTATATTAATACAACTGTGAACCTAGAAACTTGAACCCACTTGTGAAAGAGATGGATGTACTGTTGCTCTGGAGTGTGTTACTGAATATGTTAAAGCTGTATGTATCCTCTTCAAAGCATAAAAATTTGTTCCTTAATGGTTAGTAGATGTACAAAGCATTATCATTGAAATCTACCTGATGACTTTATATCCATGCTCGATGCCAAGGAGCTCAGAAAGTAACCGTCTGTGACTAATAATAATCTGATATATAGAGATTAGAAATGCATATGCAAACATCTTAATGTCAATTGCATTAAAAATGAAGTTTTCTGTATGAAACTCTGTATTTTAATAATAGAGATCTTTTTTAAAGATCTCATTTAATTTTATGTCTTATAGGGTTTATACTTAGTACAATATTGTATAACTGTAATAATTCAATTGTAAACCTGAAAATGTACAGCCAATTTTGTAAGAGATGCATCCTAGCTCAGAAAATTGTTATTGAATATGTCAATGCTGATGTAGTGAAATGCTTCTTCTAAGTATGTGATTATTGAATAAATAATTTAAAAAAAAACAGAAGAGAAGCTTGCTACATAAATATGAGGACCTGAATTCAGATCCCTAGACCCCACTAATGCCAGGCACCAAAGTGCACATCTGTAATCTCAACAACCCCACATCGAGATGGGATGTGGAGACAGGAGACTCCCTAGAAGCCTGCAGGATGGCTAGTCTGACATACAGAGCCGTGAACAAGAGTCCCTGTCTCCACAAGTTGGAAGGAGAGGACCAGCACCTGTGATTGTCCTCTGACCACTGCACACAGACATGCACACATAGACATACACCATATACACATTTTTGAAAAGGATAGGTAAAAACAAAAGAAATTGTTATTTTCATAATATTTGAATTAGCTTTTTTTCTGAAAATGAGCACCCTCTTCATTTATAAAGGTTGGCTTCCTTTACAGATAGTTTCAGAACATTTGAGTAGAACCTTATTAAATAAGCATTTGCTTCTGAAGGTCCCCATTGGCAGAGATGACCAGGATGCTTTGTAGAAAGCACTGTCGTGTTCAAATGCCTACTTTCCCATTTAACAACATCCCTTACTGTTCTGTATGTATAGTCTGCATTTTTGGAGCTCATAGTCACAAATCTGCCATTGAAAGTAAGTGACCCTTTGTATAAATGAACTATTTGCCTTGCAGAATACAGAGAAACACAACTTCCTAAGTTTGCATGATTGAGGTAAAAATTTCCAAGCAGAATAATTATACTACCTAGGGTCAAATTCCAAAGCCTTAGTCTCTGTCTCTCTGTCTCTCTGTCGCTGTCTCTGTCTCTCGCTCAAATATTTTCAAAGTGATTTACAAAGTTTTAAAAGAATTTTTTGTTGCTTATAAACAATTCTGGAAACACAAAGAGGCTTAGGAAGTATGTGACTACTGACCAAAGACAATCACTGTTGGTGTTCTGATATGCTTCCTACTGCTTCTTTTCTACCCCTTCCAAGTCTGCGCAGATTTAAATATTTTTGCATATTTTCTATATATAGGCAGGGCGGTTATCTTCTTGTAGTTCTTTCTTTTATTTATTTTGAGACTTCATCAGATAATTGTACATAGTAGCTCTGTGCTTTTAGGCCGATTGATCCAACTGATAATTGGCTGACCTTGCCTCCAAAAGAACAGTGTTGACTTATGTACTTACTTTTAAGTAACAGTAACTGAATGGCGATAAGGGAGTGAATGAAAGATTTTCCAAAACATTGCGGACAGCTTTTGTTCTTGCTTTGTTAAACAGTCCAGTGTTGTTCTTAAGTATTCTCTTCCCCAGTTGTATAACTTCTGTGAGAACTGCTTTTTGTTTCCAGCATCTTTCCTCTTAGCACCCATATACTGTTCTGCACACGATGGAAATACTCACTAAATGGCTATATACAGAGTGGCTGTCCACTAAGCTTCTAAATCCTGTAGTGTTAATTGTTAATTCACTATCCTTATGGAGAAGTATGGTAATTTGGAGGAAAAAAAAAACCCACCAATTTTATTCATCAAAATTTCACTTTTGGCAGAAAGTGAAATTTTTTACTTCAAAAAAAGGTACTTGATATTGTGTTTAGTAAAGAAGACTTCTGGAGCTGGAGAGGTGGCTCAATGGGTAAGAATGTTTACTGTACAAGCATGAGGACTTGAGTTCAAATCCCAACACCCAGGTAAAAAGCCAGGTGTGGCCACATGCCCCTGTAATCCCAGCACTGAGGAAGGCAGAGAAAGAATTGCTGGCTACCAGCCTAGTTCCAGGTTCAGTAAGAGATCCTGCCTCAAAGGAGTAAGGCAGAGAGTGATAGAGTAGAGCACCTGGCATCCTTTTCTGGCCTCTGCATGCACCCGCATGTATACCTATACACATGCACATGTATACAACACACACACACACACACACACACACACACATGCACACACCAAAACAAGTTTTTTAAAAAATATTTTATTTTGCCGGGTATGGTGGCGCACGCCTGTAGTCCCAGCACTCGGGAGGCAGAGGCAGGCGGATCTCTGTGAGTTCAAGGCTAGCCTGGTCTACATAGTGAATTCCAGGACAGCTGGGGCTACAGGGAGACCCTGTCTCAAAAGGACAAAAAAAATTTTTTTTTATGTGTATGAGTGTATTGCCTGCATGTATGTGAGTGCACCTGTGTCATGCATTGCTACAGAGATCAGAAGAGGGCTTCGGATTCCCCTGGAACTGGAGTTAAGGACCGTTTGTAGCCACCGTATGGGTGCTGAGACTCTAACCCGGGTCCTCTGCAAGAGCAGTCAGTGCCCTTAACCCCTGAGCCATCTCTCCATCCCCCAAAACAAGTTTTTAAAGCTTCCATTCTGCCACAGTTTCGTCTTTGAGAAGTCTTCTAAAAGTGCATGCAGAATAATGAAGTAAAAGCTATGTAGTATCTAAGCTTTGAAACTGTGAAGATACCAGTGGCAATACAGTTGTTTAACACTTTGTGGTTCTATTTGAAAGTGTCTGCTGTTTTATAACTAGAAGCTGACCTGAAAATAACTTTTATTCTTCAAGATCTTGGTGGGTCATGAAAGGTCCTCAGGGCATACTAAAACTGGTATGTTGGATGATTAGAGTACTTTGAAACAGTAAACATTCAAAACTGGCTAAGATGTAATAAACTGTTTCATTTTTATATGTAGTCTTAAAGTAACATCTCCCTCCTAAATAACATGTCATGTAATTTTTGTTTGATGATATACTGAAGATTTCTGTCGTAATGTGAGATTTCTCCAGAGATTAAAATTCCCATTGTCTGGGCATGATGGTCTACACCTGTCATCCCAACAGTCTGAAGGGTCTTGAGTCCAAGGCCAGCCTAGACTACATAGCAAATTTGATGCCAACCCACTCTACAGTCTCTGGGGGGTGGGGAACAAAAAACAGATAAGACTGAAACACTGCCACTACTATATCACTCTAAGAACATCTGGGGGTAGACTAGAGCTATGTCCCCACCCTGTGCTTTGTGAGGAACCTGGTCACTCGGTACTATAGACTTGCCATTCACTCACTGAAATTTATTCAAGAAGAAATGCAAACTATTTACCTTTTTTAAAAACAAATATTTGAAAAATATGTTCTCAGTTCCATCTGATAAAGTAGGCCACCATTTAATGTCAGCCCAGTGTTCAGAGTGTCCCTGTTGTTCTCTCTCCTTATCATTGGAAAGAGTCACATTTCAGGCTTGAGACAGAACCTAACTGTGGTGAGGGAACACACCAACTGAGGGGGTGTTTGTCTCCTTGCTCTGCATGTGCACCTGTATGAATATCCAGCCTTTAATGACATCTCTTTCAGATTCATTCCTGAATCACCTCGTTGGTTATACTCCCAGGGTCGACTGAGTGAGGCTGAAGAGGCTCTGTACCTCATTGCCAAGAGGAACCGCAAGCTCAAGTGCACATTCTCTCTAACATATCCAATCAACAGGAGCTACAAGGAGACCGGGAGCTTCCTGGATCTGTTCCGTTACCGCATCCTCCTAGGACACACTGTGATCCTGATGTTCATCTGGTAATTCTGAGATGGTTGTGATCTTTAATTTGGGTGCTAAAGGTCTCTTGTCTCTGGATAGCCTGCTCCTTCTGGAGGGCCCCTGTTCCTCAGTGTCTGCCTTATGCACCTGTCTCCTCTCTCGGCCCTCTCTCTCAAGCAGGAGGTGATGTTACCGGCTAAGTAAGATGACTAAACTTGACTAAGGAGACAAATATTTAAGTCCTCATACTCAGAAAGGGGGGAGGGGTGGCAATCAAGTATACCAGAAAGCAAAGAATTTCTAAATAAGACTTTAAACCACCTTCCTTTGGTTCTGATAACAAGCAGTTCCTTAGCTCCTTTCACTTGCAGTGCTCTGGGCCACATTGTCTGTGGCACTTAGCTTACTAGTAGATGAAGCATTCTGAACCTGATTTTCCAGTGGCTTAGCATATTTCTGCCTGCCACTCAGAATGAGTAAGTTGCATCCAGGGTTCTAGATGACTCCATTTGATGAGTAGAGTTGCAGAAAGACAAGAAATTGGTGGACACATGTCCTAGGGTATTACAGGTACATAATGAATGTCCAACAAAGGACACAAGGTTGGAGGCTTGGAGATTGAGAGACCTTCCCAAACCAAATCCCACAGCATAGCATGGCCACTACTAAGTTGAGGTTCTTATTAATTAGAAATAAATACAGAGTAGAGTACACAGGAACAGAGTTCTACACAACTGTTTGCTTGTCACATGGCCAGTCAGCTACATTAGAGGAAACACCTACTTGTAGGGATTGCTTATCGTTTTCATTTCCAATTTCCTTCCAGGTATATCATTAACTCTGGGTTCCAACTTTCATAAGGTGGAAATAACTACACGTAGGGGCCTGTCCCTAAGAGCCAAAGGAGCTCTTCTCAAATAAGCTTCTCCCCTAGGCTCAGAACTTATAGCTTGCCGTAATAGAGTCTGTGGTAGTCTTCTGCACGTTGCCATTCTGTTTGAAGATGCTATGAAATTCTAAATTATCCTCTATGGATCTGTCATTGAAGAAAGCCTTAACTGGGGATAAAATTATACCTCCATGTTTTACATCTGTTGCTGAGGTTATTTCCTGCAATGGTTCCCTTTAAAATAGTTTCTTTGTGTCCTAAATATACTATTAAATATTATGCAAGCATTTTAAATTTGGGGGGGTACATTAAGAGGATTGAGATGATTGTGATAGTTCTAAGTATGGATCCCAATGACTAGCTTCTTGAAGAGGTACCTTGCAGAGCAGAGGCCTTCCATATATCCCACTTTGCTGTTGTCTTGCCATCAGCTGGTAACTAAATTCCCCTGTTGTCCTGAATTGGCTTGTTTATTTTTGGGTTTGATGCCATCACAGCATAGTTTAAATAGGTGGTTTTT